CATTTCAATTTCCGCTAATCTGAGATTTAAAAAACAGGGTAGAGGGGGTGGTGCTTATTTTCGGAACTATACGGTATTTAAATTTTGGTTATTTCGTTGAGATTTTCTGATCGGGCTAATTTGAACAAAAGTCTTATTCACATGTAATTATTAAATGATAGAAAAGATAATTTACATGTAAATAAGAACTGGTATTCTGGTCTAAGTTTATCCGAATTAGCCCGATCAGAAAATCTTGAAGAGTGATTTTTCTAACAAAGATTCTATTTAACAGTGATACAGTCTAGCTTTGACTAGCAGCCTGATCAGTACTGCACCTTTGTGGACTGGGCCGATTGATAAAAGAAGTGATCTCTTCTAAAACATATTTCAAGCTGAGAAATTAACTAAAAATCAGCTAGTCGTTTATAAAAATATAGATATTTATTAGTTGGCCGATTTATATGATAAGTTGGCAAATAACGAATATAAAATATTAGATAGAATCAAAATAAATACTAAGGAGCTAGAAATTCTCAAAAGAATAAAAGTCTGAATAAAATCACTAAAATTTGTAAGGAACTACCTAATGGATTTTACACGTTTGATATAGATACCTCAATGTGATTTTTTTATTGGCCCTGTATTTTATATTATTCTCGTTAATTAATTGTGAGTATTGCTCTATTTGTATTAATTAGTCAATATTAATCTTTATTTTTTATTTTTAATCAATACGCTGTATTTAATAAATTATTACTATTGCACTATGCCTATTCTATTGGTGAGTGTAAAACTAATTATTTAACGTTTAAATAAAATATAGTTGTGGGTGAATGGATGCATCTATAGTATACGTAATAGATATATTCACAATAAATATTAAATAACAAAAATATTTTTAAAAAATATTTAATAACGATAATATTAAATAATGATTTATTTATAAATAAATATATATTAAATAACGACTATTATAATTTGATAAATTTAAATGTCACCAAAAAAAAGCCGTCATCGGGCTTTCAATTATATTTTGTACCGGGTATATTCTCTAATAAATTAAATTGTATCTGACACAAAAATATAATTGAAAGCCTGATAACAGATTTTTTTCTTTGTAGCACTTATTTGTATATATGAGTGCTGCCAAGGGAAAACCCACATTCGGGCTTTCAATTATATTTTGTGTACAGTCGGTCTCCTGAGTGCCATCTAGAGAAAATCTATCATGACAACTCATCACAAAATATAATTGAATATAATTGAATGCCCGATGATAGATTTCCCTAGACGGCACTCAGGAGACCAACTGTACACAAAATATAATTGAAAGCCCGAATGTGGGGTTTCCCTTGGTGGCACTCATATTATTAATCATATTATCTTGACAACTACTACACTAAATACGATAAAATAATTGAAAGCTAGCATGTGGATTTTTTCTTAATAGTACTCATATGCAGTATTTTATAATAAGCATTTATATTAAATTTATTTGTTTTTAATTGATGTTTTAAATTGTAATTTTAAAATTTTAATATTTCTAATTTAAGTATATAGTTTCAAAAAAAAATTAGCTATATATAATTATAATAATAAATTATTTTGGTTTAGAATATATTAATTTTTTTTATATTAAATAATTTTATATATATTATAATTTGTTAATATTGTATTCAAGTATATAAAGATTATTTTAAATTATATCAATAAATTCTTTTTAAATTTATTAAATTTAATTTTTTTTACAAAATTTTTATTATCACTATGTCTAAACAAAAAACTAATCAAGGATCTTGTTCTATTCACAATTGTAATAAAGAATCTACAATGTTTAGAAGTTTAACTGATAATGCTTTTGCAAAGACATTAACTATAGGAACTCTTTAACAATATTCATATTTGCAAATAGATCAACAAATTTGTAATACTCATTATATGAAAATTGTTAAAAATGCTTGGAGTAATTATAGAAAAAATTACCAAAATAATATTGATTTAAATAATTTTATTGAAAATAATAATTTTATTAGTAAATATTTAAATTTTATTTATTATAGTTTCAAAATAGTTGAAAATTGCAAATAAAGTTTTTTTGACAAATATTCAAATATCTAAATACTTGATTACTTTAACATATTAATTGAATACAACTAACTTGTATAACTATTATTTTATAATAATTTAAACATTACAAAATTAGGATCAATCTTCAATCAACATACTAAGATAATTAAATATTTAAGTGTTTGAATATTTGTCAAAAAAACTTATTTGCAATTTTTAACTATTTCAAAATTATGATAATTACATAAAATTTTATTTATAATTTATATAAATAAGTAAATTTGATAACAAAAAGAAAAATAAAATTTATAATTTATAATTTAATTATTTTTAGATCCATTACCACAATTATCCCTTGCTGATAAAATAAAAAAAATGATAACTATAATATATAATAAGCAATAAAAAGAATCAGCTACTCTTATACTTCAACCTAATAATTTTAAAAAAATACTTGAAGAATCTGATTCTGATTTAATTGGATTTTTTGATGAAATATGTAAGATTATAATACTATTAAATTAGACATTAAATTTACAAGAAGATGTTAAAAAAAGTTGTAATAATTCTTTATTTAATTGCTGGTCTTCGTAATATGCATGCTAATTAATTTAAATTGGAGCTTGGATTATATCTTGCAACTTGTGGAGTATCTTGTAAAATAATTAATACTTTAAGTAATGCTAGAATTTTTGTTACTAATAAGACAGTTTATAATAATAAGAAGAAAATTGCTACACAACATCCATCAAAAATTTAAGAATATTTTATTAAAAATGTAAGTAAATCTTTTTAAATATTTAAAATAAAGCTATATAATTAAAATTTTTATATATTATTTTTAAATAATATTTTAATTTATTATTTGAATTTATTTATTAGAAAGATTTACTTTGTATATATAATATAGATGATTATCATAATATTTATAAAAAAAAAAGACCAGATGATACTAATTTATTAGGAGCAGCTCATTTAGCAACAAATATGTGCAAAAGAATTCAGCAATATGAACCAGTATCAGTAATTTTTAATGGCATATCAGTTCATAATCTAGTAAATATTGATGTATCAATTATTGTAAGCAACTTATTAATAAGTATCAAGGGCTTTTTGATATTTCTTATACACAATATAAAATACAATGAGCTAGTACAAAGCAATCGAAAGTTTTAAATTTAATCATATTGATCAACTTACTATATTGTTATAATAATGCTATTGCAGAAAGAAAAAAAGAAAGAAAAATAAAAAAAAAACAATATTAATTAAAATTAAGGAACAGTCTCTTTATTCTATGCAAGATTACTTGAAAATTTTAAATATAATACTTAAATATAATGAAACAACAAATTATTTAAATAATTATATTATTCCAGTAATTGCAGATTGGCCAGAACAATTATTTATTAGAAAAGCTATTACTCAATTGCATAAAAATAATTCAAAATCACAAATTTTATCTGGAGTAATTTTATTTGTTCCTATTCTTAGACTTTTATATATTAGTCTTAATAGCAGAGAGCAAGTTATAAAAATTTATTATAGCTTCTTTAAAAAATTATTTCATAGTATATTTGGATTATGTAAAAAATTTGCTAAAAAGTCAAGACTATAGGAATAAATTTAGAGTTTCAATCCGGATTAATCTGCCATCTATTTATCTGCATTACTATATCTGGATATCTATCTTATTAGATCGGATATCCAAATAGATTTAACCAAATGATCTGATATATTTATATTAGATATCCATTAGATATCTGAAATATTTATATCAGATATCTAATAGATTATCTGATACATTTATATCAGATATCCAATAGATTATCTGATATATTTATATCAAATATCTAATAGATTATCCAATATATTTATATTGGATATCCAATAGATTATCTGATATACAAGATTTAAAGGAATTTTTTCTGATCAGATTTGTTACCAATATTTTTAATTTTATTAGACAAATCGTGATCAGAGACTTTTACAGAGATCACAGCAGGTCATATAACACCCAAATTGTAATTTTGGTATTTGAGAGAATCAAACAAATGATCTTTGGGTAATTTTCTAGCACGTGGAGAAGATCGAGAAGTATTAATATGAAGTAATAGCTTTTCTCTAATAGAAATGTCAGTGGAAGTATAAGAATCAATTGGTGTTTCCAGTTATGCAAATTTAAGAGAAGTACTATTTAAAATTTTCAAATCATAACAAGATCAGTCAAAAAAGTTAACAAATATCTGATTTTTAATTTATATTCATTAATATTAATACAAAGTTGATAGTAATTTTGACATTTTATTTGATATATGTACAAATAATTTTAGTTGTATTTTATCACATGGTTTTGAGCTAAAAATTAATCTGTAAGATAAAAATGTAACTCTCTAGTGAAACCAGACTTATGCCTGAGTTCCCATACCGGCTAATATATTTAATATTGTATTCTGTTACTGTCAACTTGTTTTACCAGATATATTACCAGAAAGTGAATGCTGTGGTATTTATCATTTACCTTATTTAAGTAAAAACTCTTACTTGAAATTACTGATAATTACATACCAAATAAAGATGTTCCATAGCTTCTTGAGACGTCAGCCATTCCTGTAGTAAAGCAAATAATAGTATCAATTAATTTCCGAAACTTAATTTTACAGTTATTTATGAAACACAACCTGATGATCATATCGCAATAGTTTATCAAGAAAACCAATAGCTTCCTTGGAAACAAAATTTTGGTTTTCACTAATAATAAATTTATTCTATTTTTTCTGTGGATAACTAGTGTTACAGTACCGTGGCCTTCTTAACAGCAGTACTATAACAATGACACGGCTACAGGGATCCTTTACAGGTTTA